ATTTTCCTAGGATTTTTGGAATTCCGCTAAGCTCAGGTTTCTACCTTATTCGACTTCTTCTTCGGTGTGGTAGTCGTGATCAATGGTTGGCTATGAATTGACGATGCTGACGATGTTGCAGGATTTCCTTGCTCCTCCTGATCCATCATCTAAATTCGATATCAGTCTTGCATTTGATTTATATTTTTGCGTAACAAAAGTGATCTTCTCAAACTGACCAGCTTTCGCTTAGCCGCAGTTGCATACGTCAGCTGACGCAGGTCGTTATCAATATGAGGAGTTGACTCGTTCTTTCTCAAATGCATCTCCTTATGACACTGAAACATTCTCAATTAAAACTCAAAATCTGAGATTTATAATTTTGTGATCTTTATGCAGTATAAATAACATCTACAAGATTCGGTATTTGACAACGATAGGTAAATAGGGAATAGCATGTAAATGGGTTCTGATTTCTAGAAATCCCAAAGGGCTAAAACAGAAACTTCAGCAGAAAAGCTTTTCTAAGGCCATATGACAATTTTTGATAAACACCCGACTAGCATCTAGTACTACTTGACCTAAATAATAAACTCAAATTCATAATATTCCGAAACTCATTTTCTGCGTTCAGAGAATTTTCGGTGCATTTGCTAGTAGTCACAGTTTTTTCTCTGAATTGCCTACTCAGGTTGGGTCCAAACCCCTACTATATTAGTCGAATGGAGATATCTGGATTTATGAAGAAAACGCAGAAATGGTTAATAGGAAATGAGGATGGAGATGGAGAAGAGCAGACGATTTTCAAAGAACATGTCAATATTTTCAGTTTTCCTTCTCTAGGTTCGAGCCTCAAATGAACTTATGCAAGTACCTACCTTCAGACTATTCTTCCACTTGAATGTCATCTGACATACGGTGCATACAAACGGTTTAGCATCAGAATGGATTCGTTTGTGATTCCACAAAGTGGATCGACGATTGAACCGCGCTTTACAGACCTGAATACATGAGACATGATG